CAGTATTAGCTGTTGTGAATAGTACCATAATAAACATAAGTGTGCAGGTGTCTCTTTGCTATGCTGATTTTATGTCCTTGGGCTAAATATCCAGAAGTAAGATATTTGGATCATCTATATGATAAAGCTACTTTTAGATATTTGAGAACTGTTCTCCATAGTTGCTATACTAGTTTACATTCCCACCAACAATGTATAAGAATTCCTTTATCTTCTTCATCATGAATTTGTTAATATTTTTAACTATAGCCATTCTAGTTTAGGTGAGATGTTATCTCTATGTAGTTTTGATTCGAATTTCTCTGATAGCTAATGATATTGAGCCTTTTGTCATGTATTTGTTGGCTATTTATATTTCTTTATTTGAGAAGTATCTGTTCAGATCATTGTCCCATTTTATAATTGCATTTTGAATTGCTGTATATTCTGGATAACTTTTTGTCATTTGAATAATTGACAAATATTTTCTCCAGTTGTGTGCATTTTCTGTTAACTCTGTTGATTGTTTCCTTTTTGGTGTAGTTTTTTTAGTTTAATATTACCAAATTTCTTGCTCATTTCTGAAAGGATTTTGCCCCAGATGGGACACTGTAGCTGGTAAAGCCTTGGAGGCAGAACCAAGAGGCCCTATCCTGAGGTCACCTTTCCCGCCCCTAGGCAATTTACCTGTGGCGCGGAAATGAATACCAATGGGCTACCTGTGCATTACTAATGCCCCTTAGGCACCACTCCAAACCTAAGCCACATGCCCCCACACCACGTGTCTGGTGGAGATAATGCCAGACCCTGGGAGGGTCATAGAGTCTCTCCCCACATTCTTAAAATAAAGGTCTCTTCTATTTCATATCTCCCTTTTTAGCCACGCCAAAATCCTATCAGATGGTTCCCTTCCACGCTGAAAATTCTATCAATTTCCTGTGTTTTGGGGGTTCTATCCAGAAAATCATTACCTATACCATTGTTTTGAAGTGTTATCCCTATATTTTCTTCTAGAGTTTCAGTTTCAGGTCTTTCTTATAGGTCTTTGATTCATTTTGAGTTGACTTTTCCACAGAGTAAGAGATAGGGATCAGATTTTAATCTGTATATGGATATCATTTTCCCAGCATCATTTGTTGAAGAGGCTGTTCTTTCTCCAGTGATTTTTTTTTTCTTGGTTCCTCTGTTTCTGTGCTCTATTCAGTTCCATTGGCCTATATGCCTCTTACGCCAGAATCATATTGTTGGGGTTACTATGGCTCTGTAGTATGTTTTGGAATCAGGTACTGTGATGTCTCTAGTTTTGTTGGTTTTTTCTCAAGACTGCTTTGGCTATGAGGAACTTTTGTGTTTCCATATGAATTTTAGGATGTTTTTCCTAGCTTTGTGAAGAATGTCATTGGTATTTTGCTAGGGATTAAATTGAGATTGTAAACTTTTTCTTTTTTTTTTTTTTTTTTGCAGCAGGGGCACTTTATCAATATTCTTTCAATCCATCTAGGAACATGAGAAATCTTTACTTTTGTGTGTGTGTGTCTTCAATCCATCATCAAAATTATGTAATTTTCATCATGGAGGTTATTCATTTCCTTTATTTAGTCATAAATATTTTACTTTTTGTAGCTAGTGTAAATGGATTGCTTTCCCGTTTCTCTCAGAAAACTGTTGACATATCAATAAGCTACTAAATTTTTTATACTGCTTTTCTACTGAGTTTATCAGTTCTATTATTGGTGGAGATCATAGGTTTCTGTTTACAAACTCACATCATTTGCAAAGAGGGATGATTTCAGTTCCTCCTTTCCTATTTATGTTTTTTTTATTTTTATTATCCAATTGCTCCAGCTACTTCTAGTACTATATTGAACATAAGTAGAGAGACTATACACACTTCTCTTGTTTCTGATAGTACAAGAAATATTTTCAACTTTACGTCATTCAATATGTTGGCTTAAGTTTGTCATACAAAGCCTTCACGTTGAGGCATGATTTTATTACACCTAATTTGCTCAGGGTTTTTTATCAGGAGATGTTGAATTTTGTTGCATGCTTTTCCTGCATTGAATATAAAGATAATAAAGTGATTTTTATTATTCATTCTGTTAATGTAATCTATTATATTTTTGGACTTGTGTGTGCTCAGTTATCCTTGTACCTCTGGGATGAAACCAGCTTGACCATGATGGATGATCTTTTTGATACACTATTAAATTCATTTCCTAGTATTTTGTTGAGAATTTTTGCACCCATGTTCACTAGAGGTATTGGTCTCGTTTTTTGTTTGTTTTTGTTGTTCTTATTATGTCTTTTGAGAATCAATGGTGTTAACTCTTTAAGTTTTCTAAATACATCTTATACTGCCATGTTTCAGGTTGTAAGTTTAAAAGACCAATATGTTACAGAGGGCTGAGATTTTAAGTCATGGGATATTGGCCTGACCACAAAAGGAGGGGAGGGTGTATAGAAATTGCATTCAGCTGTCTGGTCAGTGATTCAACCATGTGTATGTAATGAAACCTAACATATTTTATTTCTAATGTTGAGACACTAAAAAGGTAAAACTGAATTGGATTTCTTTGAATTTGAAAGGATAAGGGTGGACGAGGGGGACATTATTGTTTTAGTTGGTGCTTAACTTCACTAACAAAGAAATCAGGAAGAAAAGCATGTAAGGTAGGAAGGAAAGTTCAGTTCTGCACATATTGAAGTGTTATGGTCCATCCAATTACAGCAGACATACAGATAAACATAGAGGATGGCAGTTCAGAAAAGAAATTACAAGTGAAAGCACAAACCATGATTGGGTTGTTCAAAGGAGTCAAAAGCCATAGGAAGAGATCCATTAGTAGAATGTCCCCTGTTTAAAAGCATGAAAATCATTAGACACATTTGTAAATTAGTTTTATTATAGTGTGAGTGGAAATCAGATAAAACTGATTTAGCATATAATAGGAATGAAGAATTTGAAATGTTCACTGAGCATTTTTTAGAATAATTTGTGGTGCAAAGGAGGAAAACCGTTACAAAATGCCAGAAAAAGAATAGTTATAGGGAAGATTGTTGTGACTGTGTATAAGACGTGGGCATTCAAATATGCAAAAGGGAAAAACTATTGGGGATGAGGATACCAAATGAAGCTAAGTGCCTATGAAAACAGAACAGACTCGAGAAGAAATTTAAAAAACATCAAAGTGACCTATATTTAATAAATTGAGGTATAATGAGTTCTAATTAAAAAGCAAAACAAAATAGAACAATGAGATAATGTACTACAAACAGAACAATTAAAATTATCATTTCAAATTTGACTGTTTACAGGGATACAGAATTCAGTGGCAATGGAAATGTTATTCAGCCACAATAATTGAATAAGAGAAGCAAAAATTTATGTGCATTCTCTATAGAGGTATGTATTGTGAAATACATACATTTCACAATTAAAGAAACATTTTTATATTTCTTTTACTATTAACTATTAAAATATGTATGTTCGCTCTGCAGAGGTTTACTCACAACACTTTAACCTAGTAATCACTATGTCTTTTTCTCTAAAAACACTTTTCTATAAACAGGTCACAAAAACTGAATGAATTCACCTAAAACTAAAAGACTGGCAGTTTTTCAAGAAAGAGAAGCCACTCTGAAATGGTATTAAACTGCTGGCTAGACTCTTCACAGGGTGACTCATCCCTGCAGTAACCATACCTGACTGAAATTCCTGCCTTTCTGAATGGCAAATTATTACACACAATGGATATTCAAAGTTGCCTGCAAACTAGAAAATTAAATTCAGAAACTGTCTACTCTTTCATTCATTCCAAAGAAATATTATTATTATATCCTACATATGTAAGCTGCAAAAATAAAGAGAACACTGCATATCCTCCTGGCATACAAGCTCCATTGGTGGACCTGCAAGAAATTAATTAGTGTGAGAGAGCATATGCTACTAGATACAGAGGCGGGACCACTGATCAGACACTACTTTATGTTTGAGAGATAAGGAAAGTTTCCTGGACCAAAGAATATTTAAAATGACCCTTGAAAATGGGAATCTACTTGGCAGAAGGTTCTCCAAAGAGTGGAGCCATATGTGCTAAATGGTGATGGCAGGAAACAGCTGATTGGAGAAATAAATTCAGCATGGCTAAAGTAAAAGGTGTACTGAAAGAAAATGGAGAATTGATTGGGAAGAATGACAACATCTAAGTAAAAAGGGTATTTATATTATTTATTTAAGGAGAAAATAAAATTTCTTTTTAGACAAAACACTACTGAAGTCAAAGGATGGTTTAGACCTATCCTGTAGATAGGGAGAAGTGTTACAGGTTAATTCAGAGCATAGGTCAGAAATGGCAAAGGTCAGAATTAAAGCGTGAGCAATAGGCATGAAGAGTAGTGGAAAGAGAGACCGCAGGACTGAGAAGGGGAATTAACAGAGCTCTCAAGGTGACTCTTTGCGTAATTAAAGTTTTATAGCAGTGCCACTGTGGTTCCAAACAAGCTAATATGAAACAAAGTTTTGAATGGGACCCAGGCAATAACTAGAATCTTTTTATATCATTATTAATCAAACTTCATTTATTTAGCAATACCATAAAAAGAACAAAAGAAACCTTAATTATAAACATCAGAATTTAACAAAGCATAATGTTAATATTGTCATAAAGAGGCAGAAACACAGGTTTGACAGAATACGTCTGTTGATAAATTATTAATTTTAATTTTGAGTTTTATTATATTTATTACACATTAAGTTCTTACAGGAAAAAAATCACAACAATAAAGAAATGAATTTTTAGTGCACTGAATATTTATTTAAAAAGCATCAAAATCTTCAACACACCAGCACCTATTCATGATAAAAACCCTACAGAAAACTGGAATAGATGGTCTTTATTGCAATCTGATAAAATCCATTTATAACAAAATTTTCAACATTGTTTTTTGGTATACAAAGTCTAAAAACAACACAAATGTTTATATGAACCACACTGAAAATACCAATAGCACTGTTGTAGTTATGTTTTACAAGGGAAAAGATTTATTACTGGACACATAACTTCTAGGATTATTTTATAATATTTACCCAAAGAGTTAAATGCAAAAAAGTGGGGGAGATCTGTCCACACATTAGAGGCCCAAATAATCCAGCTAAGGGCCTGGGCCCCACAGCAATGTCTTCTCAAGTCCAACTGAAGACCTAGAGCCCATGGCAATGTCCTCCAGAGGTCCAGCTGGTGGCCTGGAGCCCATGACAATGTCTTATCCAAGTCTGTATCAAGGATCTGCAGGGGAAAGGCCCAAAGGCCAGTACAAGAAGCTAGAAAGTGGAATGAAGGATCCGTGCTGGCAGGCTGAGAGATCTGCACTTGAGCCAGAAAGTGATGCTCAAAGTAAAGCCCAGAGCTCCCCCAAAGAGAACTGCAGCCACATTCAGAGACAGTGAGGACTGAGCTCCTCTGATGATAATAGCTGAACTCATATCAGGAAAGCCAGTGTGCCAAGCTTTTCCAAGAGAATCAACAGCACACTGTCTTCCCCTTCAGTTCTCTTTTTTATGCTGTTGGCAACAACCCTCAGATGGGCCATCCACACACTGCACCAGGCTGATTTAGTTCAGCAGGGTGTCGTAAGTTGACCATAAGTTAATCTACCACAAGCACTTTACAAAAAAAACCTGTTTACTTCAATTATCACACCTAAAGCAGTCTGCACACATGACACCAGCATGTTTCATGTACACGTATTGCTTACACTGACAGCATGTGTTTTGGTTTCCTGGCCTTTTTGTAGAACATACTTGCCATCTCAGCAGTCTCACTATTTTGTCAGGAGGGTCTCATTATATTACACATTGTGTAGTTAATAGCAACAGAAAGTATAATAATATAAAGTGTTAAATTCTTAGTATGTATTGTGCCTTTAGAAAGACAAACATTTTCATACTAGCTGTATACTTGCTTACAAAACCTAAAATATAACATCAGCAATAAATTCTTATATGAACTACATAAAAAAACCAATAGCACTGTACAAACAAGTTTTGCTTCACTTGTCATCCAAGACATACATGCCAACTTCTCTGTCCATGACAACTCTGTTCCATGAACATGTCTAGCTACCACTGACAGCACATGCACTTAGTTTTCCCTTCTCCTATGTGGCAGTCTTGTCACTTCTCTTTCTGTTTTGTCTGGAGTTTCCTACTATACTGTACAACATGCACTTATCAAAATAAGGTATCAATAAAACATGAGTGCTTAGGACATTAACATTTCCACATCAACAGTGTGCTTGCTTATAAAACCTAAAAGGTAACATCAAAAATAAAAATCTATGTGAACTATAGTGTAAACACAAACAAGAGTCTACCACAGAAATAATTTTTGCTTCAACTGTCACACCCAAGGGACTCTTCACACATGACAACTGCACAGTCCATACATAAGTATCACTTACACTGACAGCATGTATGCTTTGTTTTCCTGTTCTTTCTTGTAGGGCACAGTTGACATCTTTTTGTTTTCCTGTTGTTGAGTAGGTCTTTGTGATGCTGCACCTGCCTGTTCACCTGTCACCTCACCAGTGTGCTCCACAGTTTTTTTCATAGTTTCCTGGGAAGAAACATTTTGTTTTCCCTGCTGTAAAAGATCTCTTATTAGCTGCAGTCCCAATCCTTTAAGAAAAGTTCTTCTTTATAGTGGGGAACCATTCAGACTGCTTCAAAGCTCAGGGCCATCTAAGAACAGCTGAGGATGTGACCCTGCTTGTGGAGTGCAAGCACGCAGTGGGATACAGTTACGTACCCAGGACTTAACATAGGTAAACACACATGTGCTGGGTATGGCACTATGTATGCATGCAAATAATGAGATAACAACCTGTATAAAAATTGTACAATAAAGATACAAGTTGTTCTTAGGCTCTTGTGCTCTGCTCTGTTCCATGTTGCCTGCTGTGGTTGCTGATGCTTTGCAACACGCATTCTCTACCACTGGAACCTCACCCTATAAAATTTCCCTTGGGCCCACCAAGTGGGCCTATAGAGTATTTTGCACTTCTTACTTTTATTTGTAAACTATCAAACTATGCCATGCATGTTTAGGATTGAGTAAAATATAGCCATTAGCTAATGTCTTAAGTTTTGAGTGATAACATAGTTGCTGTATAATTGATCAACAATATCTACTCCACCTTTGGTTTTGTTGTAAGAAGTTTCCATCTCAGGCTTCTGTTTGGTCAAGTGTTCCCATCATGATCAAATGTTGACATCAGCGGTACCAGTTTGCTTTTCTCTGCTATATAAAAGGTTAATGTTATACCTTTCTGAAATCCAAAGATTGTACCATCAATTCTCTGTCTTGAAATTGTAACATTTCATGTAGAATTTCTGCGTTAGTCCTGTGTACAGTTCCTGCACTGGTCAACCTGTGCTCTGTTAGCAAATGTAACATCAATTGCAAACTGGTAAACCAATTGTCAAATGTCACATTCCAGTTAGTCTGAAGATGGGAGCAACAAGTCTCTTTAGAACATCGTTCTGTTTATTACTATACTAGTAAGGACCTTATGGCTGAGTTCCAGAATAAATGTCAAAATGAAAGCATAATAAGTATTCACATCTACAGAGTATAAATTTTTATGCCATATTTTGACCCATTACTTTTCCATAAGTCTTTTATATTCCCTCAATTACAGTGAGAAACCTCTGCTAAGTACAGCTGATCTATGTATACTTTCAGTGAGGTATCATAATAATACATTTTTAATATCATTACTGATGCACATAGAATGTTTCACTTGTATTTCGCAGCATCCTGTATCATTCTGTTGGTTAAAATTTACAACACTGAATGGCAGTGCCAGCATTCTGTCTAGTAAGCTTCACACTTGCCAAAACCCTCATTATATTTTTGGACCTAGTTCTAACATTGGATTTTTTTCATTTGGTTGCATATGCATGCAACTTTTCAACTAGTCAAATATATACTCACATTGCTGTTTTTTTCCTAATCTGAGTCAAAGAGGTCTGCATTCCCTATGTCTATATCAGTTAATTCCATTTCACTGTCATAGGAACTTTGGTTCACAGGTCAGTGACAGTCATTATCATCATCATCATCATCCACCTACACCAACCTTCTGTTATAAAAGCATGCATTTTACCATAACAAATCATCTTCATCTCCAGGTATGATTAATCTGATGATTAATTTCCAAAACTTTAAATTCTGATTTTTCATGTGCCATTGTACTGAACTGGGCTACTTTCACCATAAAAAAAAAAAAACAAAAGAAAAAAATTTTAACAAATTTTGGAGTGGTGTGGGTCTAATGGACCTCTGTGATGCTCAGGTAAACATATGCAAAACCAGTTAAGATAGATAAAAATCTCATTTTGCTACTTTTGTATATGTGCAAACACCCTGCCACTTGTCATACTGAATGAGTAAACACAGATTGGTTGCTGTATCCCTCAGGGAAAAGGTACTGAAATGCACAGACAGCTACTATTATGCTAAGTTAAAAATTTATAGTAGGTAAGTAAGGGATGGGTTTGCTGGACCCAGTGTTATGCTCCTTTTATTATACTTTAAAAGACAGATTACTATGAAAGCATAAATTTAGGATGAATAAGAGTCAGTCAAAATATTCACGCAAAATGTAATTAATGAGGCTGAACTCTTCCAAGCCCTTAGGAACAACTGGACAATAGCTTAAATAGTGCTTTTAATAGTCAAAAAGAAAGTGAAAAAAAAAATCAGTCAAGAAAAACAGGCTTGACAAAAGAAACTTAAGGTTACAAGGTTCAAAAGAATTCCATTAACTACTATGTTATATGGAAGACAGCTATTTCCTATGTCTCTCCTTATGTTATACTCACCTACCTGTATGGATTTTATGTTCATTAAGAAATTATCAGATTGATATCTGAAAGAAAGGACATCATAATCAGGAATACATATTACTTACCTCTCCTTAAATCCCAATATAAATAGACAAAATGGCTGATTTTTGTATTCCAGAAAAAAAAATTAGTCTAAGAAATAGGTGGTGTGGGAATCCTCAAAAATCCTCAAAAATCCTCAAAAATCCAATTAACATGTTTGTAAGGATGAAGGCCATCTGCAGTGCTGTCCCTTCTGCAACAAGCTAGGTTCCCTGGACAACATCCAACCAATACAATCAATTGAAACCATGACACAAACAGGTTATCTGGTGACTAGTCTTTTAAACCACCAAGCATCTGGAAAGACATATCATGAAGTGCCTAGATATTATAAAGAGAATAGAATTAGATCACACCACAGGGCAATATCCACTTTAATTAATCTCCCCTACTCCAGTTCTCTCACATACTGCTTGAACTTCTATTATAGCACTTATTAGTACACATACTGTGTCATCCTTATGGCACAACTATTTAAGCTGTCTTCCTCAGCTGTAAATTGTATAGACAGTGACTTAGGCTTCTCGTTATCTCTGAAAATACACAGCAGAATAAAATACTTGAAAAGGGCACAATTCAGGCCAAAAATGTATCATAGGGCTGCAAGTGAATTGTGGCAAGAACTAAGCTAAATCTCCACGTATAATGGAAAACATGTATGTTCAAGAATCTGTCAGAAATTTCTATGATCCAGCCAAATGTGATGGTGCTATTTGTAGTCCCAGCATTCTGGAAGGCTCGTGTAAGAGGATTACAAGCTAAAGCCCAATCTGACCGTGTCACAAAATCAGAAAAATAAATTTTTAAAAAGGGCTAAGGATGTAGCCCACTGCAAAGAACCTCAGTTCAATTCCCAGTACTTGGGAAAAAAGGGTGATTTACCAAAATAAGTAACCATAGTTCTGAGAAGTCTTATTGGGAAGTATAAAGTATTTAAAATGATTCACAGAAATAATAGTCTCCACTCTCCCTATTTCATTGTCTAGCTGGTTGTAGGTGGAAAGAAGAATTCGTTCAGTCTTCTTGAAATTTCAAGAAATTTATGTTTATAATCATCAAAGATGGTGATAGACCTAGAAAGAACTATAACTTCAAACATTACAAAAGCTAACACAGAACATTATTAACTTACCTAGGAATTTATGTTCATTTTCTTGATATTTGATGCAAATTTCTAAAAGAAGCACACTTCAGTTTGGATTTCCATCAGGTTTTAATTAAACCTTCTACCCTGCAACACATTCATGGTCATTGTTATGGTTTGGATCTTTAATGCCCCCTAAAGGCTCATATGCCAAATAGTTGGTTGCCAGACTACAGTGCATTTGCATGGTTGAACCTTAAGACACGGCAGGGCCTACTGGAAGAAAATTAGATCACTGGTGATATGTCTTTGAAAGGGATAAAGGGAACCTGGTTCTTTCCTCTTTGTTTTCATGAGGTGAACAGTGCTCCCCGCCACGTGCTTCTTACAACGTACTGGCCCAAAAGCAATGTAGGCCCAAAGCAACATAGCCAAGCAACCATGGGCTGATACCTCTGAAATCATGAGGCAAAATAAATTTTGCCTCCTTATAAGTTGATTCAGGTATTTTATCATAGCAACAGAAAGCTATCAATCACGTACATTATAAAATCACATCTCAATTTATTTTGCCACTGAGAAACACTGAGTTTAAGGCCAATGAGTGATACACAGTGAGTTCAAGTTCAGCCTGTACTGCAAAGTAAGTCTCTGTCTCAAAAAACAAAAACGAAAACAAAAAAACAAGCAACTAAAAGAGAATTTAAAGGATAAGATTGATGTATGGAGAAATAGTATGTTACAGGCAATGACACTAAGCAATGAGTGGTAATGAAAGTTGAGACAAATTAACCAGAAGCAAGATCTAAAGTAGAGGAGAGCATATAATTAAACAAACTGACGACTATAAACACAGAGACAAGAATCTCAATAATGCAGGTTGTCCAAGGAAGACCATCAAGCAGGAACACAGCAGGGGATCAACAGTTCAAGAAATTGCCAACTACTCACTGGGCCACCAGCACAGCTAAGCAGGCTTAATGTAGTCTATGTGAATAGAACCAAAGTAAAACACAAGGAAGCAAGGTTAGAATGACTCATATAAAATGCCTGCCAAGGATTTAGAAATGCAAACCAAATCCATTCAAAGGAAATATGCTTGCGAAATTCTGTAACTTGATATAGACAGAGATTTAATTTTGGTTGATAGTATCTAGATTTATCATGGGAAAAATTACTATAGTCATAAGAGGCCTCCCTATGAGGGGAAATGAGTGCAAAATAAATGATCAAAAATGTTGGTTGCGGTCTGACATAAGATAGGATTCACTGAAGAGGAGAATGTTGGGCAAAGATTTTAAAAAGTAAAACCATAGCTACACAACCTGGCTGGCCACTTTGAAAAGGTCATTTTCCTCTTCCATCAAACCTGGCAAATTTAAATGTTTCTCTCTAGATACAATTTCACCGGACATGTATTATGAACAAAAGAGTGAAACTGTGTATACCTGATTTTATTTAGCAATAAAATTTGAAGGAAAGACCAAGAATAAAATGTCTTGAAACAAACAAAAATAGTTTACACACACACACAAAGGAGCTTTACATACAGGGTTTTAGATAACTTCTACATGGTTATCTAAAACCTACCAAGCTAGGGTTAATGACAACAGTAAAATTTTGTGTAATGTTTATAGAGAAAGTAGGTCTAAACTTTTTATTTATTCATTTTACATTGCCAAATAACATAAAATGTAGATAAGTAAAAAAGATGACTGAACAGAAGAGTTTTTTCTAAGTAAATGAATGTACAATAAAATAATTTCAAATTTTTTAACATTAGTAAACATAGTTTCTCTTAAAGCAGCAATATTCTAAATAAAAATATTTTTAAAAAGAATTAAATTACTACTTATTCATGAATTGTTAGCAAATAATGACAGTCAATTCAAAGTCTCTAGACTCTAAGAAAATTAATCAACAATCTAACAAAGGCAATCTCTGGGAACATGTAGGTTAAAAGGCCAGCTTTAGAGTAAAATAATATTCTCTATTCACAATAAGGTCAGATGGAGTTTAGCCAGTTCCCCTGATGGCTTCTTTTCAATAGACAACAACCTCAAATAGGAAAGTTGAAAGATGAGTTTTTAGATGTAAGGTAATTACAACTGGTTCACAATGCAATGCAGCATCTCAACTATGCTATTACCTTAAAACGAATGTAGCATATGTGTTTATGACAATCAAGTAGAAAAACTGTTTTAACTTCTTACAATTCTCTCAGTTTATGAATACTGCCTAAAGGTAAATTAAGGAAAAACTTCTGATAGTAAGGGTACTAAAAATGAGTTATTGACAAAGATTATAAAAACATCTTAAACTTCTTCAGAAAATGCATGAATACTCACTTTCAGGCATTATTTGGCGTGGTGCTACCTCAAAGCAGGAATATAGAGTAGAAAACTCTTCAAGCCCCTTTCATTCTTATTATTCTTTAAATGAAAAAGGATTTTTTTCATTTGATGTTTATTCTGGATTTACTATACTCTATAACCATCCCTCTCTCCTGCTACACGAGTCTTCAAATTTGCTATAGTATTTTAAATAAATACTATGATTGCTTTCATTATCATTAAAATAATGCTACAGTGTATTATAACCAATTAGTAACTGTCTTAAACATTTTTTTCAGCTTATCCTTTGTAAGGTGAAGAAATGGTATGATTTAATCTGTTATTTGCTGCATAAACCTTTTACCTAGAAAGCAAAATATAATCACATATACTGATGCCTGAAACTCCTTTGGAAATGCTTTAAGAAAGACAATGGCTGATTTTTGGGGAGATTAAGAAGGCAAATACAGCAGACTGTTAACAACTGCAGACCCTAGGAAGTGGCTATATGGAAATTTACTATAAGTGTTTCAATTTTCCTTCATTTGGAAGTTTTCCTAAAAATTATATTTGAAACCTGTTTCAAAAGGAAAAACATCCAAACCCCACAGAAGAGCTCTGAAAAAAAAATTTAAAAATACTAGGCAAACCCTTGCTGCTTGTATTTGTTGAACTGAGGGGAGAAGTCAAAATCCCTTTATTTTTATCTATCCACCTCTAGCAAAGTCCCAAAACTTTACAATCACAGTGAGGAAAGAAGGCAGGTAGAAAAATAGGTTTGTCTATTCTGCTTAAATGGTTATGTTTTGACCTGCACTGTTCTGTTGTTATGCCCTCTTTTATCTCAATCCCCCCCTTTTTAAAAATTATTTACTTTTTTCTTTTTATCTTTTTAATTAAGGGAAAAATAAATAAAAAATACCAGGATGCATTATAGTAACTTTTGATTTTCTATTAACTTGATTTGAAATCCTGTATTGCCCTCACCATCTTGTTCTGATTTTCCCCTATTCTGCTTTGCTTGATAGTACCAAGTTTAAAGTATAGGCAAAACTGTGAAGACAGTAAGATTCATTATGACGCTCATCCCGGTTGTCTATTATCTTCTTTTAAAGTCCTGTCTCCAGTGCTTTGGTTTTATTCTTTACTGTTTTGTTCAATTTTATTATAACTGGATATTCATCTTAAAATAGCAAGAGGCAGTATGGTAACCATTGTTGATCACCTTAGATTTTGTTTTTACATTATCTATTATGTCCATTCTTTTGATTTGACTGACTCTGTTTTGATATGTCACATTTGGTTTTACTCACTTCAAAAAAAGTATTAAGAACTGTGGGAGTAATAAAACCCAAAATGTGTAATTGTCATTGTACAAAAAAAGAAAAGAAAGTGCTCTAAAGGTTATAACTGCATATATGTTTAAGTGTATAAGATAGATAACCACATTACTGAGCTTTTTTGGATCACTGAACAAAACTGTTTGCACTCTCACTATTTGAAAGTCCACTTTATATGCTTCAATTTTGTAACTTGAACAACTATTTCTAAGATGAGAATATGTAATCTATTAACTAGTGACTTCTTACTGTTTATTTTTTAAATTTTGTATTACTTGTACCCTTTTTCTGTTTTTTCTTTTTCTCCTTAAATTAAAAAAAAAAAGAAAAATAGGTTTGTTATGAATTCTATAGCATATGCGAGTACTTCCCGTTTTTTTGTTTTGTTTTGTTTTTGTACCAGGGATCAAACTCTCAAGTGCTTTAGGCACTGAGCTAAATCCCCAGACCCTTTCAGTTGAATTCTGAAGATCAAAAACTGAAATTTCTTCTATGTCTAAAAATAGTATTTTGATTCTTTGCCTATACAAAAAATATTTTCCAGGACACACTTATTTTTCCAAAGGAAATAAAGCACACCTTTCTTTGGATTACTTACTCTTTTTGGCAATGTCTTTTCACTGTGACTTTACCTCAAATTACTCATAGAAAGTTTGAAAACACAGAAACAAAATTTTGGCCTATCATTTACCTGTTCAAGTGTGCACATGAAGTACATCTGACATGTGTTTGAGGCTTTCGACACGAATTGCTTCCTTAAAAGTCGCATGAGTTTATGTTTAATATCTATTGATGAATTAATTTTTGGTAATCATTTTGAACACATTTTGCATTGTATTTCATAAGGAAGAAAATTCATAACTCAATTCCTAGTACATATGATATATAAACAAACACTCATTAAATATGTACTATGTGCCAATCACGATGTTGTCTTAGGAAAAAGAATATAAGACACAGTCCTTAACTTCATTAACTCGATGGCTTAAGTAAAAAGGAAATACAGAAGGACATCAACTGATATTCAGACAGATCATTAGTACAATAAAGGGAAGACACCTAACAATTTAGGTGTTGGAGATCTTGGGAAGACTTTCTGGGCTAAAGGCTGAGTAGTGGTCACCTTGTTGAGAGAGAATGAAGGATGGTATTCTATGCCTAAATGGCAGCACAGAGATGCAAAGCAGTACATTGTGGGCACAGCACTACAGGCAATCAGTACAGTTGGAAATAAAGCTCCTTAGATGGAGAGACAAGACTAGAAAGGTAGGCAGTAACTATACCCTTGGTGATATTTGAGATATGTTAAGGGAACTGGATTTTCTCTTGGCTTCAAAAAGATTTTAGAAAGGCAGTGACATTTTCAGGTGGTATAGAACTCTGTGGCCACTGGGAAAATGATGAACGTGAAGGATACATGATAACCAGCTAAAGCAGTGTCAGAATGAGGACCTGAACCAAGGCAGTGATAGTAGGTGTCATGGGTTATGTCAGTGGCCCCCCAAGTCTCATGAAATCATGGACGCCTAAATCTAGCATTTCTGATTGGTTTGTTGTGTAGCACTTGGATTGGTGGTGTGACTACTACATCCACCCAGGGGTGGGGCCAGTATACAGTGTAACAGTGGGGAAAAGGTGTGACTCTCTCTTTTGCTGTTAGTGCTTGCTGGTTACTGTGGCTGCCATGGCACTTTGCAGCTTGGAGCCAGGAGAGTACAGACTGAAACCTCCAACCTGTAAGAAATAAACTTTCCCTTCCCTAATTTCAGGCATCAGGTATTCTGTCTCAACAAGGAGAGAGAAAAGTAACCAAGACAGGAGACAAGGTCTTTATTGAGAAAGAAAAGCAGACATGACAAAACTGGTTATGGAGATGACTCCTAAGGGCCTGGATTTGGTAAATCTATTGGTGACACTCTTTCTTCACACTTCAAGTAGAAAATACAGAGAGAAATGCTAATATGGAAAAAAGCTGATGGATTCCGCTTTGGATGTATTGAATTTGATATGCCTCTGGGTGAAGAATTCCAATGAAAAGTTAATATAAAAGGCTAAGAGAAGAGGCCTGCATAGGAGGTTGAAACCTGAAATAAAGTATTATAGATAACTTGAATCTATGAGACTAGACAGCCAATTTTTCTGGGGTTTTGTTTTTATAGTATGTATACAGTGGTATCTCGCTCTGGTTTAATTTTTTATTTCCTTTATGTTTAATGATGTTGAACACTTTTTAAAATTCTTATCTGTGTAAAGTTTAACCCATCACTCACTCAACCGGGTATTGAACCCAGGAGTTCCCTACCATTAAGTTACATCTGCAGTTCTTTTTATTTTTTGAGACAAGATCTTGCTAAGTTGTTCAGACTGGCCTAAACTTGGTATCCTCCTGTTTCAGCTTCCTCAGTAACTGGGATTGCAAATGTGCCCTCACCTGCCCCTGCATCCCATCATCCCCAATATAGTGTGAAGAATAAATCAGTAAATAAGTACATAGAAAATTTGCATCAAGAGTGTACAAAATGAAAAATGCAATAGAGAGATGGAACTCTCTCTCCCACAAAAAAAAAAAAAAAAAAAAAAAAAAAAAAAAAAAAAAAAAAAAGAATCAGGACCTAAGAAACTAGATTTGAGCAAAGACACATAGAACACATGGCACTGTGGAAAATGAACCAGGAAAATCAGGTCAACATTGCCTACCAAGACATTGTAAGTCATAAAAACTTTTTTTTTTTTTAACTTGGGTGACGTCACCAGTGGATTCAAAAAGAGCATTTTTCAGCCAAAACCTTTCTGATACCGGAATTACATTCAACAAACAACTTGATAAGAATTCCCCATTTGAGAGACACGTGAAAACCCTGAGCACTCTCAAATGTCATTTCCCTAGGAACAGGAGGGTCTGGAATTTCCGAAACCGATGACGACTACAGAGGATCTTTGGGGGCATCCCAGCATAAGGTCTGCGCGATAAACCCGGAGTCACTGCCCCACTGGGAAATCAGAACCGCATTCGCCATGGAGTTGACCAATCTGACTACGTATTCATCAGAGGCTGCTTCAGCTATAGCAGAAGAGGACAGGATTCTGCGAACGTGGGTGAGCCCGGAGCAAAATAGGAAAGCCCCTCTCACCTATCACCCGCTGGAGAGCCGGGTGGCGCTAAACGCGGCTCCTTGCGGTCCCGCTCCTCCGAGTCAAAAGAGCTAGGGGACTTACCCAGGACCAGGAAAGGCACGTTAAAGCATAGGACCTTTACCAGAGGCCGTCCTGGGGCATCCCACTGACTCCCCAGACCCACGACCCTACGCCTTGCAGCCCCAACAGGCTGCCAGTCATTCATTGTCAAGGAAGCAGGGCTCCAGACAGCCACTTCAGGGAAGCGGCTCGCTCACGCCCTCGCTGAGTCGTAAAAGGCCGTAAAGCGCGGGATTTTGCGGCATCACCGTAGGTGAGGTCGGCGGCGGGCTTCGTGTCTTGGCTGGGCTCTGCTTGAAGGCTGCGGTTGGCCCTTTGGGGAGAACAGGGAACCAGCTATAATTCTGTTATCGGGTAATTGGGCCAGCTGCTTCGTGGGGTTGCTTAAAAACCAGTCGGTACTCGAGAAGCGTAACATAAGGGTCCTCAAACCACTCTTGTGGTGTCGGTCTGCAGGAGCATCTAGGCTTAGGAGTCCTTGTGTAGCTGACATTTTCTTGTTCACTTCGTTCTCCAGTCTCCTTGTCCTTGGAATTCGAAATGCTTTATCTGATCGGCTTGGGTCTGGGAGATGCCAAGGACATCACAGTCAAGGGCCTGGAAGTTGTAAGACGCTGCAGTCGTGTGTATCTGGAAGCCTACACCTCAGTTCTGACTGTGGGAAAAGAAGCCCTGGTAGGTGATTGAGGTTCCCCAGGCTTTTGGGAAGAAAACTACTCATATCTGATTTTCGTGCACTAAACTAAATAAAACTTTTCAGGTCTGCTTTCTAAAACCTTTAAAACGTATCCCCTGTTCATTAAAGATCTAAGAAGTACGAGAAGGGAAATCATACACCGACCAAGTGACTTGGGAAATGAAAGAGTGATTTGTCCTACTTTACAAGTCTAATTTTGTTGCATTTTCCAGTAAACAAAAAAGGAATCCTGTGTTACACTCCTAAGAGGAATGGTTATCAAAATCCCTTATTTCATGTGATAGCCAAGAAGTCCTTCTTGATTTGAGTGCTAATGAATCGCTGACCCAGTCTTAATGAGTTGGTTATGTATTCAGAAACCAAGCCTGAAAGCTTTCCCCTTTGAAGTATTTCCAGAGGGAATGCTGATTGCCTTCCGTCTATAACATATCCAAAGAGATCTTACCTTTAAGTAGACAACTCCCAATAAGGCTTACAAGTATTGAGTGAGTCTGGGACTAAGTAACCAGAGGATTTCATAGGCTCATTAAAGGCTTTAGAGGAAGGGTTAGTTTCAGGTTCATTATTAAATTCCAAGGAGAATATAGGTTAAAATCAAAAGATTGATGGAGAGAAGCCAGTAGATCTTCAGAATCATCGGTCACATTAATCTGTCTTCCAAACAAAAGAGTGATTTACAAAATTTCAGGTTTCAGTCCTCTCAGATTCACAGCCCAGAGAATTCTGAAGGTCTCAGAGTTATTTTAACATCTTGAGTAAATTAAGGACTACTACTTGAAATAGCCATGCATTGAAATAAAATTTGTGTCTTATGATCAACTTTGGTTTGTTGGCCCCATTTTTATACTTGAATGGAACCATAATAACCTCAAGATAATGGAAATAGGTTGTTCTAAAAGGTGATCAAGGAAAACTAGAATAAATTTAAAACTTTCTAAGGGAATTTGTTTGTTTTTTGCGAAAGGATCTCACTCTGTAATTTAGTCTGGTCTTGAACTGTATGTATCTCACGCAGGCCTCAAATTCACAGTAATCCTACCTCAGTCTCCCAAGTGCTAGGATTTGCAGGTGTGGACCACCATATGTGGCTAAAATAGGAATTTTATAAATAAAGTATCCCAGCATGACACAGCTGAAAGTTTGGATCTAGTTTGTGTTTGTTCTGTTACATGTTCTTAGACAAGTTCTTTAGTTTCTTTCTGTGTAAAAGAGGTTCAAAAATCTTCACCTTATGGATTCTCACTGTGGTTGGCAGAAAAATGTTTAGAAAAGGTAGCTGTCAAGGACACTTTTCTAAACTTCTGAGCATCAGTTTCTTCATTTGGCTAATGAAAATAATTAGTTGGACAGTGACATAGGTTTTTAAGATGTATGTAAAATTGTTTTGTAAAATTTATGTTACCTAAATGTTTTGGTGCTATCAGTTTTGAATTTTTTTTTTTTTTTTTTTTTTTTTTTTAATGTGGAGTTGGTATGTACAGAGTCGAGATCTGGGACTGGGCCAAATCTCACCTATAGGTGGTTAGGTGTACTTTGTTAAGATATAAGAATTAATTCATCCACAATAAGAAGAATTATTTATACTACTTTGGATGCTTTATGTGTATTTACTATGCATTTATAAAGAGGAGTTAAGAAGCTTGCCCACGATCATATGAGTGGTGAGGGGGTATAGTGTGTGAACCAAAGCAGTGCAGAGTGAGATCTGCCACTTTGGACTTTATAGTGTACTGTGTTTCTGCATTCTTAGGGATAGATATTAATTACACAAAGCATAGCTCATATAACTTTAGAACATACCTAGAAAGGACATAGGATTCAAGCAAAGTGATCTATCTGGGATCTCACTGTATCACAAATTTTTTGGTGTGTTCTCCATATTCTCCTCTAGATCCTCAGTTTATGATTTACCCTAAGCAACTTGTTATACACGGCATCAGCTGTATATATCTAGTGAATTAGTTCTGGGCTGAAGTAAGATATAAATATATTTATGCCTTGTTTGCCTGGTAAAATCTCAAAGTCACTTTTTCTTCAACCACTTTCTTCATTTCTACATTTCTTCTTTAAAACAAACTGAGTTTCAAAAATTGGTATATGCTTACATTACTCCATGTATAGTCTGTTCTTTACAGGTAACTATTACACAGTAATGAAAAAGCTGGAAAATTCTATTTTCTGCAGTGAAGATGTGCCTTCTTTTATCAATAAATATATTTTATAATAGGAAGATATAGGTATTACTACAGAAATGTGATATTTATTTGCTCTCACATTGAAAGCTGTTTTCAAATTGTCAAACAGATAATACTACTTGTATATCTTCTACACAAAAGTTAATTAAAGATAGTAAATCTAGGAAAACCTTAGTTTTAATATGCTCAACTTAAATTTTTTATGTACTTTCTGTGGATACATTATGATTTTATATATTTACTTAATTATATATTTATATACATTGCACAAAAAAGCATAAAGTATGGTCTTTGTTCACAAGTAATTCATGATTCATCTGCATTATATCTAGGAAAACTTAAATAGTAATGGAAGATTTAAGTAACAATATAGAACAGTAATGGAAGAGAGAAATTATGAAATAATAGGTCTGAAAAGAACCAGCATGAATTTATTCGAAACAGCAGTCCATCTATTGTCAACTAAGCAGTGGAAACTATCCCAAATATCAAATAATTACTGGGTTATTAATTACCATTGAGTTATATGAGAGATGGGTGTTTAAATAGTGCCTCAGATGGACATGAAGATTGGCTAAAAATTCATATACACAAAGTTCTTAGAATAGTGCCTCATCATCCTCCAAATTCAAAGACGCAGTCCAAAAATGGGCATCTGAGATGAACAGACATTTCTCAGATGAAGAAATGCAAATGCAAATAAATACATGAAGAAATGTTCAATATCACTGATCATTCAAGAAATGCAAATTAAGACAACACTGAGATTCCATCTTATTTCAGAAAGAAACGCTGTCATCAAGAAATCCACCAATGACAAATGTTGACGGGGCTATGAGGAGAAAGGAACCCTTTTCCATTGTTGGTGGGAATGTAGACTGCTGTAACCACTGTGGAAATCAGTGTTGGCATTTCTCAAAAAACTAGGATTGGAGGTCCCATTTGACCCAGTTATTCCCCTTCTGGATATTTTCCCAGAATTAAAAACATGCCACAGTGATATGTGTGTATCCATGTTTATAGCACGATAATTTGTAATAGCTGAATCTTGGAAATGATCTAAATGCCCATCAATTGAGGAAGGGATAAAAAAGATGTGGTATTTTTATACAATGGAGTATTACTCAGCTATCAAAAAGGATGAACTTGAGGCTTTTATAAGTAAATGGATGCAACTTGAGACCATATTCAGAAGTGAAATAAATCAGACTAATATGTATATTGTCTCCCTAGTATTTTTAAAAAAAAACCTGAGAGTCATAAGATCCAAATTGTGCAATAGATATTGTGGAAAGGGAAGGGAAAGAAAGTGCTCAAGAAACAACTGGAATAGGGGAAAAGAGAAAAAGTTAGGGAAGATATATGCATATAGGTATACATATGTATATGTGTATGTATATACAAGATAGACAAGTATACTACTAGTCTCTGTAAGTTCGTCAAAAAGAACAATTTGTGTTTTCATAACTTGATCATTTTTATACCTAAATCTTGTAATGTGATCAACTTTTAAGATAACAATATACTATATGTTAACTAGTGTTGATTTCCTATTTTTTTTGAAATTCTGTATTGTTTTTATCCTTTGTTTTGTCTTAAAAAAAAGAATGGTGCCTGACCATAGAGCAACCCCAACATAAATGTATTAGTACAAATGTCATTGTAGACAACATTTGGTAAGGGAGAAAAGAGCATTCTGTCCTAATGGAAAAATAATTGTGAACAGACCATGAAGGAGGAAAGCACAAAAATTTGCTGAATTTGACATTGAGTTTCACTAAAATAGCTTCTTTTTCTCTTTGTGTGGCTTTTCCTTTATTTTGCTTCCTAACTTGAGCCACCTAGACACAAACTCTTTTTTACTTTTCCTGTTCATCTGATATGATTTAAGATTGAGAGACAGAGGAAAGGACAATAAAGGACTTTACAGTAAGAGAAAGGAAGCAGTTATGATTTTTATTAAGTTCTCATCTGGCTTTGCAATGCATGTGAGTTTATCTTCTGTCCAATCTTAGAAAATGACTTATAAGATGAGGCTTTTTTCTTGTTCAAGAAGTAATTCTTTTAGGTGTGTTTTTAAAAACTCTTCTTTCTTCTTTATGTGAAACTTGTGTTAGCATCCTCTAATCCTCAAACTATATTCATACATTGACTATTTGAAAAGTCTCTTCTTTAAACCTGTTTTCTCCATAGTTATTAGTGTATCTCCCTTTTTAATCCAAAGCTTCTTGAAAAACTATGCTTTTATTGACTCCATGTCTATTCATGTCTCTTATTCCTGAAGGCTGATTTCCATTTCCAGAAATATTTCTCTTATTTTTAAACAGTTCTTTCCTAGCCAGGAACTTCAGAGAGTTTTAAATTCTGTTTTACCTATTTTGTTAAGTTGACCACATGTTGAAACTGGCTTTTGTAAAATTTTCTCTTAATTTATTTCTGTTTCCATTTTTTCTAGTCTCTCTTGGTAAACTTTTCTGTTTCTTATGTAAATGTACTATTTAAAAGTATTTTTTTGTTCTCACATCTTCTCTATACTACTTTGAATCTCTACTTTTATTTTTATTGGTTAAGTAATTCACTAAATGATATGAAATATAAAGTACAGAGATACATACCACAAAGGATTTCTATCAGGGGTCTTTTCTGGAGGCCTTCACTACTAATTTCTTATATATCCTTCCACAAATACCTGCACATAAATTTAACATGTTCCACCCAACTGCCAATTTAAAACAAGAATGAAAATTTACTTTTACTTTACTTCCATGAGTAGAGAAGATTAGGGCTGCAATTATACAAAAACTGGCTCAATCATTGGGTAAATCATTGGATAATATATAATCATACTTTAAAATGATTATATTAAATAATACTGCTTTTTTTTTCTTCCCTGACCCATTACTTGGCAGGAATACTTCATGACACCAATGATATGGTATGGTAGTTAATTCTCCCTCTCTTAGAATGGGAGCAAAATATATCTTAATACCACTGACTCTCAGCATGAAGCATAGAGTTTGGCATGGAGAATGTGTGTAAGAAATACTTCTATAGTGAGAGAATGAATGAATGACTAAGCAAGTAGATAATATAACACCAGTCTTACTGAATTTTCTCTCTTTTCCCTTTTTAAAACATTTTTCAAAAAAATCAGCCATTTGATTATATACAATATTATGTGTCAATGTGTGTTACCTGACTTAGACCATGAATTGTTTCTTAGCATCTTAGTCACTTTTTACTCGTCGCTGAGACAAAATACCTGAAGCCCAAGTTGGGAAAGGAAAAGTTTATTTCTTACAGTTTTTGGAGATTTCAGTCCACACTCAGTTAGCTCCCAGGCAAACGGGCATGGCTAGGCCGCCTTTCATGGCAGCTGCAAACAGCAAACAGGAACTAGCAAAAAGCAAGACACACCTTCTTCCTGCCATTACATCACATCCTGGCTCCACCTCTATGTGAGTGGAACACTGACACCATCAATCCAAGCACTAGACAATGAACCAGTCACAAATACACAGTGCAGACTCATGAGGCCTGGGGGCCACAGACATAAACCATGACACTTAGGTTGAGATAAGTGGTGAGTTAAATATGAAATTATATAATCCAAATCTTAAAAGTAGATTTTTTTTGTTTTATTTTTTTGGTCAGGTCATTTATAAAATACAGGTTAGGATTATTGCTAGCTTCAAACTTGTGGCATGTGATTGCTTCATCTTTAAGAAATGTTAGAAGTTGTTGGGCTTGGAGGTACACACTTGTAACCCCAGTACTCATGAGGCTGAGGCAGGAGGGTCACCACAACTTTGTGGTCAGCCTGGTCTTCCTAGTGAGCTTAAGGATAGCCTGAACAAACTGTTGAGACCCTGTCTCAAAAACAAAGAAACAGGTCTGGAGATTTAGCCCAGCAGCAGTGCCAGTTCAAAAAATAAACAAACCAACCCAACAAATAAGAAATGTTAGAAGTACAGTAAAAGCCATTGTTTCCTTTGGTTTTCCTGTATGTGTTCTCTTAGGTATATAAAATATTCTGCCCCTATTAACCTGGTTCATAAGGTCAAAGTAAACCATGTAAAAATTAATTTTTAAGAAAATACACAGTGAAAGTGAAAATTAAGAACTTTTTTCATCTGTTAAAACATTGTATTTGGAAACTTTTCTATAGGAAAGAATTTTTTTTCACATTTGAGGAAGAGATTTTGGTTAAGTATTGGGAAATAAGTATCACAGAACTAGTGTTTATAGATGTTTAATCATTTGTTCATTTATTTGTTTGACAAATATTTTTTAATATCAGATACTATTTCACAGCAAGCCTTATATCTTAATAGTTCCACTTTCTCAGTATGTAAGACAGTATTATTTATGTATGCATCTACTTTTATTTCATTTGAATGGCCTATTACTCCATTTCATGATCTTGATTACTACCCCATAACCAATACCATATGACTACCAGCTTACTAGCTGACTCTGCTGGGTTTGTTTTCTAGAGTAAACGTTGGGGAGATTATGTACAAAGTACTTTGTATGAAAACTTCTTGCGTATGTAGAATTCAGTTTTTTCCCGTGCAGCCGTCTTGTAGCAGAAACAAGGGAATATAATCTTAAATTTATCTTTCCTGTAATTATGTAAAAATGTAGCCTGGTTCTGTAAATAGCTAAGTCATACTTTTCTGTTATTTCTCATTGATATTGCCTTTAGTTTAGCCAGAATACCACAGATGTTTCTCTAACTGCCATGTGTGTGTTTCTCATTATTTTTTAATATGTATATTTATTCTTTATTACTATGTTTCTGAAGTAGGGCTCATGCATACATATTCTGTGTGTATTCTGTAATGCTCTGTCTGATCTATTATGAGCCAAAGTTAGAGGTGAATTTAAAATGTAAAAAGCCTCAGATGTTAAGAGGTCTGCTTCCTCCAGGGATATTAAGATAACCCCAAAGACAGAGTTTAATTGCAACATGATATAGAGCTATCTCATTGATGAGTTGTATTGAATGATCTGGGTTTGGATGATTGCCAGAAAGTTGCACTAGCTCCAGACAAAGATTTGTGTGTGTGTGTGTGTGTGTGTGTGTGTGTGTGTGTGTGTGTGTGTATGTGTGTGTGTGGAAATGGTCACCTGCTGTCTCTCATTTTGATGCTGTTCTCAAATCTGTAGGAAGAGTTTTATGGCAGAAAATTGATTCTCGCTGATAGAGAAGAAGTGGAACAAGAGGCAGATAATATTTTAAAAGACGCTGATATCAATGAAGTTGCATTCCTTGTGGTTGGTGACCCATTGGGGTAAGTGTAAGCAGATGTTTTGAGTTACTTACATTTTAACCAGCAATAATAACTATTGCCTTTAAAATTTATCTTCCAGGTCCTAATAAGGGACTTATGTTTACCTAAACTCTAAAATTTTGTAGTTCAAACTTTCATTATTTTTTAGATGAATGAAGAAAATCTTGATAAAAATACTGCCATGCATATCACTACACTATCCAGTGTCTTTGGCCTGTTTTTTTTTTTAAGATTATGTAGGGATCAACTGTCTTAGTTAGTGTATGATTATTATATAAGTCATTCCATTATGATTGTCATGCCTGTCATTTGCTGCAGAGAATTGAAAGCATCGTTAACTTTCTTTGTTCCAGGCTAGGTTTTCTTTTTTAACCATCTAATATTGCCAATACTGCTGTCACTTTACTTGTCTAGAATTTATCATTTATCATGCCACTGATTTAAATTTCTTATATCCATTGGGAGCTCTGTTTTTCCTCATTACAAAGAAGATGGGCTTCTACTTGTCTAGGCAAGCATCATAAATCTCAAATGTCAAGTTAAATGGAAGAGTCCTTTGTCTACAGCTGATGACCCAAGATTTATGTCACAGATTTAAGGAACATAAGGACAGTCAAATCACTATGGGGCCACCAGAAGGACATTTCTCAAAACAGTAGAGTTCCATGCATATGCGTCTGTGAAAAAAAAGTAATTTATATGAATATAAAGGGCCAGAGATTCTAAATCATAATTATACCCTTCTGCAAGTGACTTTGGATAATCACACATCTTAAAATACTTAAATAATTTGTTTTAACTTTCCATTTTATGTGAACTTGAGGCTTCATGAAAATTAGTAGTTCCTTTATTTATTTTTTTCTACAGGAGAGCAAAATAAAACAAAGAAGGAAAAGATCCTATTGAGAATGTGTTCTAAGTCTTGTAAAATTTTCTTATCACACTGACTTTTTCTGCATAAAACCCAATTTTTCTATAAGGAAACTTCCCCCTTCAAACTCCCTAATTTGATGGTACTGCAGTTCTTATGGTTACCGAAGTAGGCAATCTCAGCATTGCTTTTGACCTTTAGAGCATCCATTTATTGATGCTTTTCATGATATTAAAGATGATATTCAAAGTGAAATTTACAGACTATAGCCAACCCACTGTTCATGATGAAATAAGTATAGAAATTGAGAGTAAGCATTTCAGAACATTTATAGCCATTTAAAAAGTAAATTTTATGCTATTAATAGTAAATATATAGAGCTTATATTATGTATTATTTAATTTTATATCTTATTTTTCTAATACTTCAATTGTACTGCATTTTCTGAAACTCTTGCTCTATGACAATTTAGAACAAAAAATTGAGAAATACTCCTGTTGATTTTTGTTTTGCCACATTTTTAAAATCTTTTCATTCCTTTCTACGTTGGCTGCCACTATTCTACCTAATCCAGCTTTATATACCCTACATCTTTTGTTTGATCCATGTATTAACTCTAAATTCATTGACCATACTATGGTTAAATTCATATTTGTAAAAGAACAATTTGGAAATCCTGCCTAGGCTGATATAAGAATTTTATTAGCGCCATCCTTAGCTAGATATGAAAAACACTGCCTAACCTGCCCTTCTGCCTCTGTCCTGCCAATGTTTTACTGAAGCCCACAGATACATGCCGGCCAATTTGCTCTTTCCTAATTGTCATGCTTTCTCACCTTCATATCTCTATTCAGGCCTAAAGCCCTGTGACCTGAATGACTGTCAGAGATGTATGTATCTTTCAGAACCTAGATGCCCATGCTGTAGTTCTTTATTACTTTAACTTGCAGTTACATCTCCATGTAATTGGTGACATACATCATTCATAGTGTTTTTCATATACTATCTGAATACATTTTTTTAAACAGCTGTATACATCTATTCTTCTTTTAGATTTGTAGGTTAACTTTCACATAACTTTCACATTTTTATGTCCCTAGGTTCTTTGATACTACTTGACATATAGTTAGTAGTAGTTAGTATTAATCAAAGAATGTTGTGATGTTTCAACAAAGAAAGAAAGATCAGACATATTTTGAACTGATATTTACCATTCCACAGATAATTTTCATATGCTTACCTTGTGACAGAAACTCTTGCACACTCAATAATAAGACATTGGTTTACAATTTTTTTATTAGTGGGGAAGCCACTAATAAGCCACTAATAGTCAAAGAAAAAAATGAATTTTAATATAGGTAGGCTTATAAAGAGTTAAAAAAAGGAAATAATGCAACAAAAGTAATTTACACAGAGTCATAGGAAAGAGCCTTCCTATGGAGGTGATATTTAAACAAAGTGTGGCAATGTATGTAGATATTTGTCATTTACTGATTCCTGTTTGGACTTATAAGAGGTGCACTGTTCAGACTTATGACCTGCCAGTTGAACTTGAACCTTTTTTTTTTTTTTTACAGTTCTGTATGTTTTATTTATAGAACCTTAATATCTGTTTTGGTACAATACACCTTGTTTATACAGTACTGTAGTTATACATTCTACTGTATATTACAGTATATTACTGTACTGCATGTAAGAATTGTACAAATAAAAGCAAAGTCATTAAGTTGGAATTTCCTTTGATCATTTCTTTGTTGTGAATTTTGTAATGTACATACTCTATACATACTATATTCCTCATTTAGCAACCACCTCATTAAAGGCCTAGTCACAGAACTGGAACTGTACAAGTAATGTCTCTGTCTGTAATCTCAGTGCTCTGGAAGATGGTGATAGAAGAATCACATTTGAGCCCTCCTGAGTAACTTAGCGACGTGGCAGTATTCTGTCTCAAAGTAAAAAATAAACAAGGATTGGAGATGTAACTCAGTGTGTAGACCCTTTTATGCCTACTATTGCAAATTAATCAGCCAATCAGTGTGAAGAATGAAATGGGATAGGAAGATGGAGGAACATTCTAAGCAGAAGAAACAGACTGTGTCCAAGGGAATTCAGAGCAGCTGCTTAGTGAGTGAGGGGGAGAAAGGAATGTGAAAAGATGTTAGAGATAGGCATGAGCTGGATCATATAAACATTTGGAGTAATTTTTATTTGAAATAGAATAGTGACCCTCTGAAGAGTTTAACAAGAAAAAATCACAATCTAATTGACATTTCTGAAGGATCACTTCAAACGCTTGGATGACTAGATTTTAGAGAGACAACAGTGTATCTGATGGAAAAGAGAATAGAAGAGCCTGGGATGTACTTGGACAGAAGTATACTAGGATGGATCAGATAGAAACAAAAGGATAAAAATAAACCTGATTTCCAGGATTCTAGCTTAATAACTGAGTGGTTGATGGTGCCACTTCTTGAAATGATAAAAAGCAGTAGCAGACGAGATTGAGGGAAATAATTTGTTCTGGAAAACATCTTAAATTTGAGATGCCAGCCAGGCATCTGCTGCTGCTGCTGAAGTTCATTGAAGGGGTCATCGTGAAGGTATGGCTTTTGAAGTTATTAGTATGTAAATAGTATTTAAATACAAAAAAATGGGATAGAATCACCTTAGAAGAGTAGAAAAAGAAGAGGACCTAGGGTCAAGCCATAGAACTCTAGCATGTGATAGTCTAGCCACAGTTGGAGGAAAAGAAAAATGAGTATGTTGTCACAGAAGCTGAGAGACTATTTTTTTTTCTGATAGGTGAGTTGTACATAGAATACATACAGAATACTTAACAGCCAATGATAGGCAACCCAATTTAAACATAGGCAAAGGATTTGAATAGACATTTCTCTAAAGGAAATATACGTAAGCACTGTGGCAAATAAACACATGAAACATACATCATAAGCCATTATAGAAATGCAAATAAAAACCAAAGTAAGATATAACTATACCTTTATCAAACCCACTAGACTGTAACAGAAAACACAAATAAATATTGGCAAGATTATGAGGAAATTGGAACTCTTACATTGCCACTGAGAACATAAACTGGTACGGCAACATTGGGAAAACTGGCAATTTCTAAAAAGATTAAACATTGCCATGTGATCAGTAATTCCATTCCTAAGCATATATTTAGGAGAAATTAAAATATAGCTGCCACATAAAAACATGTATACAAATGTTTGTAACAGCATTATTCACAAAAGCTCCCAATTAGAAATAATTCAGTCTATCAGTCAATGAATCATATATCAAATATGATATATGCATATAATGGAATATTATTTGGCAATAAAAAGAATAAACCACTAATACATGGGCATGTCTTGAAACAGTGTGCTAAATAAAATTAGCCCCATGTTGTATGATTACATAGAATATCCAAAATAGGACAGTCTAAAGAGATAGAAAGTAGATAAATGGTTGCTTAAATCTAAAAAGGATGGATGTGACTGAGGTATGACTACCAATAATTTTTTTGGGAGGAAGAGGCTGATAATAAAAATAGTCTAACATTAGTGGTTGCTAAAAACAAAACTACACTGTACCCTTTAGATGAATCTAATGTAATCTGTTTGTATAATATTTATGCATTATTTCAGTATATTTAAAGTACCAGTCTTGTAAAAAAGGATAGCCTATGGACATTAACTGGAATGGAAAGGCAAAAAATGGAAATTTAACTCCCTCCCCTCTCTTCCTGCCTTCACATCACTTCGATCTATTTCCTAAAAGTCCAGAATAAAGATAAAAATATTTACAAAACACAATCAAGAAGAGACTTTTAAAAAGAGTGGCCAACTTTTATGCACTGCTGAGGAGTTAAATGTACAATGAAGATCAAAGAATGTATGTGAATTTAAAGGAGTGATATTTGCAATTTAGTAAGAGACAGCTTTATGGAAAGCTTAATACTTGACTTAGATATGAATAGGGTTCAGTGGGATGGAACTTGAGTTCTGGACAGAAGGAAGAAGGGAAGATTCCGTTGTAAATTAAAAATCCGAGGTGTACTATTTTTAATTTTTTTTTTTTTTTGTCTTTTTCCTTTTTATTGGTACCGGGGATCGAACTC